TCCAACGTCTAATTTCCAACATCCTGAAAATCTAAACACTCTAACTAACACATACGTCACTCAGAGCAGAAATCAATTTGTTCAATTGTAACGGCAGACGGTAAGAGAATTGGTGACGGACCTTTATTAAGGAAAAACACTTAATATTTATACATTCCTAGCTATATTAAAGTTAGGCTTGGTAACAGGAGAATAAATTGTTCTGATTGGTTGACAACTGGGACAAGATTAAACAATTTTTCCAATGAGGTTATTTCACGTCCAGAGTGTAAACTAAATCCAGTTCTTAAAAACAAACACTTCTACCCCCGTGGACATTGACTTAAAATATAGTTATCTCAGTTTTGGCCGCTTTCGATCAATCCGCATCACACTACACATTGATTGATGCCATGTTTTAGCATGATCAGAATCAACGCTTTCGTCATCATACTCAACTATGAAGGCAATGTGTCCCATCATGTTTAACATATAAGGGATATAAATCAGTTTTATTACTGTACAGTTTGCATTTGTATCATGAGCGAATTTCGGTCTCTTTTTTCAAATTTCCGGTAGATGTGCAGCTATGACTAAAACAAAATGTCCTATTTAACTTTCAAACTATAAAATACGTCTTGTATGATTTATTACTTTGGAAATCATATGTTTTACGAAAAAAAGAATACTAAACTCATGCAGAATTAAATAAATATTATTGAGTTATTTGGAATCATAAAAGCTAGACGGTTCGGGTAGTTGTTTCCTCATCCTTTGGAACTCTTCAGTGATACATGCACACATGACCTCACTGAAGATCGAACGTAGGACCTTCACGTTACTGAATGAGGTCGCTGAACATTCAACCACTAGGATGGAATTTAAAACTGTTTGATACTCTCCAAACAATGTCTATTCTCAATTTAAACTACAAACGTTCTTTATTATTTGCGAGAAATTGAACTTACACTTTCACTGCATGTATTTTGTTAAGAAACTAAGCTAATCTGTATTTTGTGTTAGACAAAAATACATCCACTCACTGACTAAAATACTCACTACACATAGTCGAAAATTTAAGTTTCGAAAATCGATAATACTTAAATAAATCATATGTCTGTAGAGTAATATAAGCTACACACTAAAGTTACATCTTATCAATTTCAAAATTTAACTTATTACAATTTAAAGCAGACTTTGAAAGATAATTATTATTATTAGGTGGAAATTACTTTATTTCCGTCATGTGAATGTTGAATTGAAAATAATCTTTGAGATGTTTTTGTTTGAAGAAGGAATTTCAACGAAGTAATGGTCAGTATCTTCAATGTCAGTTAGAAATTAAAAACATGAACTGTTGATTTGTGAGAATCACGATAAATTTTGTGTTAAAAGAACTGGACAGCTGTTTCGTACCCTTTCTGAATTCTTCATCAGTATGCAAACATGTCCTTCGGTTTACAGTGTGAGTTCATTCAATCACTGGGACGGAATTTAGTCGTCCATAAATTATAACTTCTGACAGTTAGACGATTATACCGCAACCGCTAACCAATGTAATCAGGGAGTTTTTGTCCTCATACATAACTTGGTGAACCACACCGATCACCACCTATAGCTAGAACTTCAGGTAATTTCATCCCCTATTCAGTTAGTAGTGAGTACTAGAATGATTTTTAAATGTTGGTTTGCAGAGATTTTGAATTATTTCAAGCAACTTCAAGTAGCTTATTCTTCTTAGTTGGAGGCTTTTTAGCAATGTACAACCAAAAGAAAATAAGTAAAGACATTCAGGACTCCTGGATGCTGCTACCAGCACTTTGGAGTTAGAAAAAATGGAGATGGACTGACTGAACTATCAAAATAGAAGTTTGTACGAAAATGCATCGCCTGGATTTGCTAAACACCAATAAAGCATAAATGAAAGGAGCAAATAGAAATACTTCAATAAGGAAATGCGTTGGGCAAACACAACAATTGGATGAAGACTTTAAAAACGAAAATTGATTATATCTGTGCTATTTCGAATGATTTTAAGGCATTTTCAAAAACCTCCGCAACCAATAATTCTTAAAATCCTGGAGATCCTACCCAGACAGCATTTACCTTCATATTTTCACAAATCATCAGTTATTATCTTTAAGGATTAGTGTCATGTTTTGGTCTGAGCACCTCAAACTTTCTTCATAACTTTGTTCGACTTCTGCTAACGTCGTTCGTCAGGGAACACAGTCTCTTGACATAACCTAGTCACCTCAGTTAACTAAAGTACGCCAACTCATCGACTGGATTTCCCTTCTCACCTAACACTCTATGCTCATCGTCACTATTAAACAGAATATTGCTGAATGTAACGCTCGAGAATAAACGGAAGTATCCATTGTCAAAAATCGCTAATGAGTGCATAAGGAGTAAAGAATGTTTTCTCCCGTTTCCAAAATTTAGAAAATTCTATAAATTTAATAATTTTAAGACGTCGTTTTAAAATGAGTACACTGAAGTTTAACCGACTGGTCAAGACTAAGTGTTTCATATCAACTCACGTCAGTCACCGTAACTTCATGTCTTGTAATGCTAACTAACGTGATATTAACAATAAATATGTACTTTTAATATTAGATAAAAAGAAATTTGTTAATGTTGAGAGAAGCGACTGTATGATGACTGTACTTTGAAGGTATAATCAAATGCTAGTTAACAATTCAGGATATTCTGAGCTAATTTTCGCTCATCGACTTTTCAATTGAATAACTTTAACACCTGAAAACTAACTCATGATAAAACGCGAAGGTCAGGATGAAGATATCACCATCTAGAAACTGTACAGCATAACTTTCAAGTAGTAAGAATATACTTATCTGGAATTTGACAACAAGTCCTTGTGACGCAAAGCTAACAGTTAAACTGCAAGCATCTTAATATCCTGGAATTCTTCTCTTAATAATAACCACCTCATTACCACGAAGAGAAACCGTTGATTAACTATCGGTGAATACAAAAACGTTAGATTGTATTTCTACAAATTGTGGTAATTATATCACGTTACAAAGACTGGAACTCTACTGGGAAATGCATCAGTTCAGGTGATCACAATTCAAACAAGCAATATACTCATGCTATGATGAACAGAGGATTACGCGGAAAAGAACAGTAGGATAAAGATTAGAGAAAATCTTCAAAATTGAAAACAAATCGTAAAAAGAAAATGCATCCGAATGACTTTGAGACATTTTCTAAAGACTCTTCAACAAGTTATTCCTAGGACCTTGTAGAATGGGGGTAGATAATCTTCACCTTCCTATGTGGCTTAGATAAACAATCAACCACTCCAAAGATTTAATCTATACTTCTGTCTGACCTACTGTAACTCTTACCCAGCCTTATACGATGGTATTTCACAACATCTTAAGTAAACTTCAACTCCTCAAATAACACTCTACGTCTGACCTGATTACTGATGAACATATAGCTGCACTTACGGCAAGCAACTGAACGTACATATCTAAAGTCGGAAACTTTTAATTTAACGTATATATTGCCTTCAACAGCGCGGTCTCAAAGCCATGAGGTAGAAAAGAACGAAATCCTGTGCAGAACATACACTCACTGATACGCAAGTAGATATCACACTGACGCCAAAGATGACATGAGTTTGCCAATACACTAGAAGCATTTTTTATCATCAAGGCTTGAGTGACTCGGTCAATACACTCAATTATTTTAATTCATATCCGTAATGTAAGAGTCACTGAGGACCACCTGCATAGCATCATCTGTTTTCAAACAAGGGCAAACAACGTGCTACACATAACCAATTTTGTTTCTACAGAATGCGCAGAGCACTTGGCATTTCGCCCGATTTTCGAATTAACAGAACTACAACAGAATTAATTAACAATTGTGACATTGTTCATTCTTGGTTGGCATTACTGGTTACCCTGACTTCACAAAGCAACCATCCATAAGCTTACATATGCTTTTATGAATTCAAGTAGACTGTTTCAATTAGCGTTATATACTTCATGGATAATCTCTCAATAACCAAACTTTATTACAACATGTCAAAATAACCGGCGTTAAAAATTACCTCCAAGTCAAGAAATTTGGAAAGTGGTAACAAGTGTGTTTGTATTTCAGGTGAACCTTCCCCCTGATCTGATATTACAATTTTAGAGCTTTTATTGACGGATCCCTGAAAAATGTTCGGTATTCTAATCATCTCTGGAGTTACGTCTTAACCATTTTACTGCTGTTTTGAGAATTTAACTCAATAGGCAACTGTTCACTGACTATTCTGACTGTATGAAATACTGAGGTTTGACAGAACGTTTATGTTACTGAAAACAATATTCAGTAATAATTCATTAAAGTGCTCAAAATTGTTTCGATGTCGTCTTGAGAACGACAGTATAAACAATTAGATGAATAGTTTATTATAAATCAATGTGGCTATTCTATTAACGCAGAATTTCAAACAAAAGTTCACCAGTTCAAGTTACAAAACTTCGGGAAAGCACGTACAAGTGTAGAAAAAAAGTAATGAACTGGCGTGATAATTATTGTGGAATTATTCGGTCAAATCTTGGTGATTAGCTGAAGACTAGAGATTTTCAGAAAGTGGATGATGACGCGGAGTAATTACATCTTTGCTAATGAGAACGACTTTTAGCCAATAATCTCAAACCACTGATTCGTAGTATTCTAAAGACACCGGTCGGGTAGTCTCAACTTACCTGCGTTCCTTAAGCCAACCATGTTTCTCTCCAACCATCTATAACTATTTTCCAACCTAGTCCCATATCAGTTATTATCTCTTGTCAAACAAGATGACAAGTCGGCATACACAACACATATCCTAATCACCCTCAATCTGTACAACTTCGCAACCTCATCGATCAACCTCCCGTCCTTATTTAGATTTCTGTACTTAATCAATGTCAAACAGTTTAAATTTGGAAGAATCTTCAGTTCTCTCTTACGTTAAATTAAATCTTATTTGATATTTTCGTAACATGCAAGACTCACTCATCTTTTTCAACTGACTCCAAATTCGATCCAGTTGACTCATCTTTCCCTGAAAATGTCTTCCTTGTTTGACTGTCGACATTAGCCAGTGATGATGTTGCTAATGAATCCTGCACTGAGTCACTAAACATAACCTTTTGACCACCAAGTGATTGTCTTGTTGAGGCTGACGGTACACAGGTAGATAATCGTTTCCAACGAAAATCTCCAATCTGGTATGGAGTAATACGTGAAATCAGCTGATCACATGTGTAAATTATAATAAAGAATGCAGTCAACAAATGGTCGAACCGTTGAACACGTTCAGTGAAATTTAATTTTGTAGTACTTTCTGGTTCATACATCTATTCAAAACAAAATACACGAATAAATTGGTAATTGAAACCAATCGAAATGAATGATCAGTACTACATTAAAAGAAAAACTTTACTGCAAATTCTTACTTCATAAGCTTCTTGTAGTGCAGTTTTACAATCGGAAACTAATTGACATAAATGATTTCTTGCTTGAATTAACTGCTTTAAACGGTGTAGCTCTTCTCTCCTTATGTACTTGTATTCTTCAAACTGCGATAATGACTCGTCATACTTTGACCTGTGTAATTAAAAGAAAGTTGATTATATGTATACCGATTAGTGTGGGATTTTGAAAAGTCGACTGTACTTATCCCACATTCCATTTGCATTCCGAGTGGAGTACAAGGCTTCAAGCGAGAGCAGGTGGGGATATCTTTCTTTCTTATGTGGTGAGGCTGCTAACCTCACACCCAACCTTTCCTTTTCATCACAAGGCTTACTTACTACTGGCCAAGTGAGTTAAAGGAGTGCGTCTACTTGGAATCGAACCCCGAACCATGTGCGTTGTTGACAAGTATTACACCACTGAACCACTGACACCTCCGATAGCAGGTGCTGGAATGATTTAATTAGGCATTAGGAATATACGTATGAAATTCTGGATATAATGAAATATACCTGAATTGTTACTCATGTAGCAGTGTCAGAAGTGTTGTAAGGCATACACAGGTCGCTGAAAATCTTACTTGTTTTCAATTAGGCCTTTATAATTGATAATACAGGAAAGCACAAGTCACGTATGAAAAATAAACTCCAGGTATTTTTTAGTTCAGTCATTCTCACATGATTAAACATCAAAGAAATCCAGGGTACATCAACAAATGAATCAAGAGTAAAAAGAATAACTCATACGCTAACACTCTGTCTTATATTACAAATATATCTGTAGTGCACATTGTACCTTTGAACTTTTGTTTAAACTGACTCACCCACGGTGATCCACGTTTTACCTTTTGACTTGTGAGTCTTCCGTACGTTCATCGGTTCGCTCTCTTGTTGTGCTCTCTTTCTGCACACTCTCCGAGCCTACCTCCAGCAACGTCTGCAGATAAGTTGTACGACTTCTTTATTTATTGAATTTTATATTTCGTTGAATAAAATATAATTCTCCCAGGTACTCTTGTCACATCAAGTCTTTTTACAACGATACCGTTCGTCAGTATTTGCGCGTCGAGTAGTGTACTGCTAAGCTTAACAGGTCGCAAAACGGTGAAGAAGTTTGTAAGGGTGTTTAGAGTATAGGTCCACTCTAAGCCGTAGTAGAACTCTTACAAGTGGTGAGCCCGACGTGATGCGACCTGTTAAGCTTAGCAGTACACTACTCGACGCGCAAATACTGACGAACGGTATCGTTGTAAAAAGATTTGATGTGACAAGAGTACCTGGGAGAATTATATTTTATTCAACGAAATATAAAATTCAATAAATAAAGAAGTCGTACAACTTATCTGCAGACGTTGCTGGAGGTAGGCTCGGAGAGTGTGCAGAAAGAGAGCACAACAAGAGAGCGAACCGATGAACGTACGGAAGACTCACAAGTCACAATACCGTTCGTCAGTATTTGCGCGTCGAGTAGTGTACTGCTAAGCTTAACAGGTCGCAAAACGGTGAAGAAGTTTGTAAGGGTGTTTAGAGTATAGGTCCACTCTAAGCCGTAGTAGAACTCTTACATATCCAAGCAGAAACAGGTTTCAGTTAAAACGAAATTCCTTATTGATCTGTTAGTTGATCAAGAAAAAAATTGTTTGGTAAGACGTCACAGGAAATTCTTGACTATATAAGAGATAAATGTGAATTATGGAATACATGGGCAGTTTTGTTTCAACCACAGGTAGTTAGAGCGGATGAAAACAGACGAAAAGAACTACAGTAGACTGATGCAGCAAGACTTCTGTTGTACAAATAAAGATAAACTGCAAAAACACTGATACTAATTAGTTCTCTTGACTAGATATTGTAATACCAAAAGTCTCTAAATACCTAACGCAATTAAATCTTGGTTGTTGACCAATAAGCTTGTCTAAGGCATTCAAAAATGTTCAGAGGGATAAAACAACCTCTTAAGAAACTGACAGATAGCATACATTTAGGCACAGTACCTAAAAACGCCCTTATAAAAATTAATAGCCAAATATCAGTTTAGTTGACGAAAAGTATCCATCCAGAGACAGAAATAAGGACAACCGGCTCGGCGATGAGAATGTTTTCGTCTGTTAGAGGAAATCTATTCTCCAAAAAGAGCCTCTTCGCTGAAATGTTTGTTTTTAAATACCAGTTTGTTATTAGACATTTACATTGGTATACAATACTTTCAGCTATAACCATATCTTATAAATACACTAAATTATTATTATTTCAATTCTCTCACGAGATATATAAATATATATATGATTGTACAGCTTGATAACAAATTCGTTGAAAAGAATCGCTTCTCTGAATCACTTGTTTTCATTTTCACTAGAATTTAGTGTTCTCTATTTATATAAATTAGGGCAAACTGAAGTGTGTTCTCAGGGATTAACTAAGAAAGCACCAAACGACACTGTCATTTCACTTAGATTCACGAACGTACTTAGAAATCGATCAGCAATGAAAACGAAATAGTCAACCATTTAGTGAGTGACTACAACTCTTAGTTGAGATATGAAGGGAGATCAGTCGATTAGATTAATTAAAAGTACTTATGAGACATTGCAAGTAAAAACATACACGAAATGATGCTCATGACACGAGTTCTATATATTTCGGCTCAGTAGTGTAGCTGATGGTACTCAGTTTGCGTTGAAAGTTAATTATTAACTGAAATGCACTGAAATTCAACTGACTGAAAAATTATAATTAAGCAGAACCACTGGACTTCAATTCGAAGAAATAAGAGATTACAATTTTTAAAATCACAATACTGTTCGTGCCAAAAAAAGAAACAGAAGACAGATGTTGTTACTATTACCTTAGATTGTGGACTTCTTCATTGAGTTCATCTCCTTTTATATTCATATCGTCAATATGTGTTTGAAACAAGTTCTTATTCAGTATACAAACATTTTCTTTCATTGGGAACATTTCTTTAATTGAGAATAACTTTTTTTCCTTTTCCAAACAATTAGATATCGAATGCTTCAGTGACTGAATGAAATTATATTTTTTGAAATAGAAAATGAATAAAACATTGAAAATTGAATATTACTGTAAATATTACGGTAGAAATTAATATCGTTTTACTTTTGACAACAGACTATGCACTACGTGCTTAGCCATCCCACTGGAAGCAGATAACTACATCCACTTGTGGAGGTAATTAAACCTAAAATACTGAGAGCCTGATAAGTACTAGAATTCTTCTAAGCGTATATTTGGAAAAATGCCTTAAAAGGAAGCAAACTTCTTACGCATGCAACAACCACATATTTAGCAGAATCCTGATACAGGATATAAGTATTTCGGTAATTCAGAATAATAAATAAACAAGACGGAGTAGTTGATTCACGTTTACTTAAGCTATTTGTATCAAATACTTTTAGCCTGACTTTGATATCACACATGAAATTCTGCTCCTTCTAGCTTTGTTATTACATTTGAATCTCATCTGTAATTAATCATCATTTGCATTTTTCTTTTTGATCACAGTCATTTCATCAAATTCTTATTATTTGAATGACTATTCCTGTCTTTATCAGAATGCTTTTTTCTGTTTTCCCTGACCCATTATTTGCACATTTCTGAAGTCATCTTTCGGATATAACATAAACTGTAATAAATTTTGGCAATGAAATATAATTCTTAATTTTCTAAATCTTATTTTTATAACTAAACTTACTTTGCATGTTGACATCTGTTTGAAAATATCCGACGTATTTTATGCCTTCGCCTCGTGATAATTCTCACACATTTTAAACAGTCAGCAATTAACTGAATCATGTGAAACAAAATGACATCATTAGTACCGCTTAATCGTTTGTTCTTTATTCAAAGTTCTCAAGAGAACAAACTGTATGAATAAACCAAATACTACAAAAGGTAATAAAATATGCAGAGTACCTATGCCTAGCGAAAGTAGACCAATGAATTTTCGAACTGCAACTACGATATTTGTGAAGGCTGAAGTGAATTTTCAACGGAGAACTTTACACAAAGTTCAGAAGTTCACTTGGCTACTCTTCATAAAAGCACTCATAAAGGTTGGGAAAAAACTGCAAAGAAACTACAAAAACGGATGTAAGAACAGTTATACGAAGAAATGCAAAATGGAAACATCTTGCACTTATCAAAATTATAAGCAAACAAAAATCATAACCCCGAGGAGTACTGTTTCTAAATTACTAAGGCTTAACTTCACTAAAATCATTGTTCAAGTGTAAGATATAAAGTAGAAAACAGTTTGACTCACTTGGATCTGATTCGACCAATTTTTATGCATTTCGTTTCTAACGTCTCGTAAGACATGAACATCATGCTTCAATTGTTTAGTGGCTTGTTTATACGATTTATTTTTACCCATAATATTCAGCATTTCAGTGCTTAAACATGATAATTTTTCATTTAGTGTATAATTTGATTCTAAAGTTCGACGTTCTGTTTTGTTAACACGTTTTTCTGTTGCTATTCGAAATTCTTCAGCCAAATGTGACAGTTTGCGCAACATTTCCTTGTATAATCTGTTGTTTATATTTGGGGAAAAACGACAGTGATAAAGTGTCACTACACCACAAAGTAAATATTATCTTTAAATTTGAACCTCGAGAAAACTGATAAAGTTTGTTTGAAGATTTGATGTACATATTACGTCTGAAGTGGCTTTCTCTTCTGCAACAAAAACAGAAACATAATTGCTGTAATATGAGGTTGGAATACAAGTCACTTAGGTCACTCGGATTTGTGGTATTTCGGTAATTCCAGTGAAAATGCACATGGCTAATTATTGGTGCTTACTTAGTCAGTCATATTTTCCCTAATGTCAAAGCTTATTCATAATTGCATCAAATAGTTAGAAAACTTTTGTAATCCACTTAAGGACTGATGGTCAACGAACAACTTAGTATGAAGACTGTCACCATTAACAAATGTACACAGGATGAGGGAGCAGAAATGCATTGATACTGGAATATTAAATAGGCGGTTGCAGTAAAATGCTTTACAAACTTAATGATGAAATATACCTGTGAAAAACACTAATCTATCTTTTGCCATGAATTGTGTACATCGACAAAATCTGCAGCTCTTTGAATATATTGCGAAGCGAGCACTTCAAATGCAAATTGAAACTGTTAGTCGACAGCGTTGTATTAATCTGTAAAGATGCAAAAGTCGAACTCTGCGAAATTGCTCAATTATATTTTTCGTTATTATGGTCAAATACAGCAATCGCGTATACTTCACTTTCCTTCTGGGTCAGTGGCTGGATAGGAATTTGTTTTTGCGTACTTACTGTTCTGTACTGAGACTCCGATGCAAGTTTATTCAATTAATAGTATTCACACTTCTAATGAAGAAATAAATGGTAAAAGTCAACGTAATTATCCACGAACAGTTATAAGTAAGTCTGTACAGCTACTTTCAGTTTAAAGCAGTAAGCGGTGTGGCTGAAAAGCCGATAATTACTTTACGCTGCATTATGTCGACAGCTAAAGATCACATGTAAATTCTAAACGTACCGATCAAATGAATTTTACCGTTTGGATGTAGAGTCGGACATGTGAATTTATCCTAGCCCGAAATGCTAAACTGCTTTTAATTGGAAACATATCAAATAAATAGTCACACAAAGGCCTATTATGATGGAGACTTCATTAGTATAAAAATGTGTATGCACTCCGCCCGGAACAAGCTGGATTGAGAAAAGGAAAATCGTGTGTGGATCAAATTGCAACTCTACTCATCGTCATCGAACAAAGCATAGAATGGCAGTCAAACCTCAACTTCATCGACTTCGAAAAGGCCTTCGACAGATAGCGTTGGCCGGGAAGTAATTTCGAAACTGCTTCAACACTATGGCATACCTCAAGTCTCTGTCAGCCTCATTTAACAGCTTTAGGACAATACCACGTGTCAAGTGATTCACAACGGAAAAGTCAGCGAGGTGTTCGAACTGCATACAGGAGTAAGACAAAGCTGCCTATTACCACCGATAATACTCTTAATTGTGATAGACTTGATTATGAGTCAGACTGTTTAGGATGAGGAGTCAGGAATACGCTGGATGACCGACAAAAGGCTCCAGAAGACCTGAAATTCCTGTGTGGATGATTTATGTCTAATGTCACACAAACTCGAAGACTTGCAAGAGAATATCAACAAACTGGCAGAAGAGGCAGGGAAAACAGGGCTGCAGGCAGGCATAGTGAAGCCGGCGGCGATGAAGATAACCAATCAACAGCAACAACAACCAGCATCAATCACCATCAACGGGAGAGATTTAACAGAGATTGCCTCCTTCACTTATCTGGGAAGCATAGTTTCAACTACAGGCGGAACAGACGAAGATGTCAAAGTCATAATAGTAAAGGCAAGGTAAGATACGCCTTCATCAACCTGAAAGCGGTTTGGAAATCTTCTGCATTCAGGATAAGGAACAAGATTCTCATTTTCAACACCAATGTGAAGTTGGTTCTTCTATACGGGTCAGAAACTTGTACTGAATGTCACGAAAAGCATTTCTAACAGGTTGCAGGCCTTCATCAATGCTGCCTTCTTCGACTTCAGATTGAAGATAAAATGGCCAGAAAGAATAGGCAACAAGAAACTCTGGAAACAAACCAGCAGGCGGGAACCGATCGCTCAACGAGTATGTATGAGAAAGTGGAAATATATCGGGCATACGTTGAGGAGGCCACCTAGTGATATCGCACGCCAGGCCATCGCTCTAGTGAAATCCCGTTGGGTGGTCCTAGTGTGACATGGAGGAGATCGTGTGAGGAAGAGATGAAAGAGTTTAGTCGATTGAAACCCAGATGAAGAGGAAAGCATAAAACAGAAGAAAGTGGAGATGTGTTGTTGAAGCCGTATGTTCCACTCGGAATGCAAGAAAACAATAATACTAACATATGAATAACTATAAGCATACTACAAGGCCAAAAGATTACAGGCATATATGCCTGCACATAAAATCTGATTGCATGCTACAAAAGTGTATCAAAACTCACTGATCTTGTGTGACTGTCAACTCTAAATCTTTTTCATGGTACTTAAACTTGTTAATTTTCCGTGTTTCTCCAATTAGATTTTCCATTTCTATTGTCTTCGTGTGTAATTGTGCTCTCTCAACATAAAGATCTTCTAACGATGCTATTTTACCAGCTATGTAAGTGGAAGTTGAAAAAGTGCTGAAAAGACCTACTTAAAACGCCTTCTCAGAATTAAGTTTCTCTTCAACGGCCTCTATCTCAAACCTGAGTTTAGCCACGATATTATTATGTTCTAGCTGCTTTTCATTCATCCTACTGCAGAGTGCACTTAGATTTTCCTTCAGTTCACTAATATCTTGGTCTAAAAAGCAATTATCAAAGTAAATTTGTGTAAGAATAACCTTTATGTTGAATGCAATTTTGAATATATCCAATTAGCCCTTCACCCTCTAACCCATCTTTCTCGAACTGAAGTGAAAGCTGTGAGTTTAAATCCTTCAAACTGTCTATCACATACTGATATCTTATTAATTCATAGCGAAATCTACTTAATTACTCTTTTGTTTTCTTCTTTAATGTTGTGATCTGTACTTCATACACTTTTGGATCATAAGATTCTTTGTTTGAAGCATTTGAATGCCTTCCACTCTTTCTAGGAGAATTCGTGCTTCTCCTGCTTTTTGTCTCTTTCTTACCATTTAACCATTAAATCTATTCATAATAGCCGATTACTATTGTTATGGCAATATGTAACTTCTGAATAGTATAACACATTATTCAATATCCAATAATATTCGGACAGGTTAATCCAATATGCTGACTATGAGCTAGTATAAACAAGTGATTTCTTTGAGCTCGCTTCTTGATTGTGAGGTAGAGGTTCCAAATCTTCGGTGAGCTTCTGTGTAGTACGTCCCGCCACTCACTGCTTTAGCTCTGGTAGACTCCAAGAGGAGTGGTGCGGGGATTGGTCAAGATGTGGTTTGTAGTATGCAGTATGTTAGGACTGTATTGCTGCCGTGAATGGAGTTTGACCTAACTCCCGTTGGTCATTCGGTGTAGTCATAAAAGCAGAAAAATATATAATAATAATAGTGTTGTAGTGTAGATAATATTGTTTGAGATAAATGGAATAATAAAGGTGACCTAAGGAAAAGATGGAGTAGTTTGTATACTGAGAGAAGGCAGAACAGGTCGTGGGGATTTAGTTTGTAAGCTTATCCATTGACAGCATGGTTTTAAGTTTTATGACGATAAGCCATTGAGACACAAACCTTGCATTTCTGCATGATTGTCCAGCTTCCGCTTAAAAATCTCCACAGATGGCGATGTAGTCACGGCCGCCGGTAAAGCGTTCCAGAGACGGCAAACACGAAGCTAAAAGAAATGTGATCGCACTCGAGTCTTTGGTCTCTGGTGTGCTATCCTTAGCGGGTTACCTCGTGGAAGCCTATAATCACTTAATGGCAGGATGCTTTCATTTGGGTGGGCCTGGTCATTTAAGATCTAATAGACGGTGATGAGGTCTCCCCTGTGCCTACGGTAACTAAGTGTGAAATGACCTAAATGGTTGACTCATTCCTCTGTTTTCTTGCTGAGGTCGATCACCATTTTGTCGTTCGTCTCTGGACACTTTCTAGAATGACAGTGTCCGTTTGGTGTTTCTTAGGTTCAATGAGATTACACACTTCAAGGTTTGCCCTCACATATTTATATAAATAAGAACACTAAATTCTAGTGAAAATGAAAAGAAGTGATTCAGCGAAGCGATTCTTTTCAACGAATTGGTTATCAAGCTGTACAATCTAGATATATGATATAACATATATCATATTCTGGCACCAAGGGTGTAATTTACACTCTGTGACCTGCGGAATGAAGTTGAAATACTATAATAATTTAGTGTATTATAAGATATGGTTATTTTTTTCACCATATCTCGTATAACCATATATCTCGTACAAGGGACAATCCAAATCAAATTAAAAGCTTTCAGGGAAACAGGAGCTGCAGATAGACCACAAGCCAAGTTCAACACTCAAAAGCTGAAGGACCAGGCTACAAAGGACATCTTCATTGCAAGCATAAAGGACAAAGCTGAGATACAAATCAACACCAGCGTAAAGGTCAGCGTCGAAAAGCACTGGAACAACTTGAAAACGGTGTGGAGCCAAACCTGCATAGAAATTCTAGGCAGAAAAAAGAGACAGGACAAACAGTGGCTCACTACGGACACTTGGAAACTAATAGAAGAGAGAAGGACAGTGAAGCAAAAGATTATCCAGTGCACCGACGAGCAACAAAAACAGGAGCTGAATGCAAGCTACAATACACTGAACAAAAGAGTGAAGAATATTGCCAGGGAAGACAAAAGAAAATATTATGAAACCATGGCAAACGAAGCAGAACAAGCTGCAGGCAAAGGAGACCTCGCCACACTCTACCAAACAACTAGGAACCTTTCGGGCAAACGTTCGACACAGATTAAGCCAATAAAGGACGACAATGGAAAGTCAATCACCAAAGAGGTGGAACAGAGAAAGCACTGGGTTGAACACTTCAAAAGACTTCTAAATCGTCCGCCACCTACAACACGCCCAACAATACCAACAACGGAAGCAGAACTACCAGTGAACACTGACCCCCCGACGAAATCAGAAGTCCTGAATGCAATCAAGATGCTTAAAGCTGGGAAAACACCGGGACCAGATGGAATCCCAGCAGAAGCTTTGAAAATAGACCCAGAGACAACAGCGGACTTGATGACACCACTGCTGGAGAAGGTGTGGAAAGAGGGCAAAGTACCCGAGGATTGGAAGAACGGATACTTATTCAAACTTCCAAAGAAAGGAGACTTAAGTCAATGTAAAAACTGGCGTGGAATTATGCTTCTGTCCATTCCAAGCAAGATACTAAGTCGCATCATCCTGGAGAGAATCAAACAAGCCCTAGATGAAAAACTTCGTCCGGAACAGGCTGGATTCAGGAGAAACAAATCATGTATTGATCAAATCGCCACTCTACGGATCATCATTGAACAAAGCTTGGAATGGCAGTCACCTCTCTATCTCAACTTCATCGACTTTGAAAAGGCCTTCGACAGCGTCGATCGAGAGGTCATTTGGAAACTACTTCGCTACTACGGGGTCCCATCGACAATTATACATCTCATCCAACAGTTATACGACAATGCTGCATGCCAAGTAATCCACAACGGGAAACTTACGGAAGCCTTCGAAGTGAGGACGGGAGTGAGGCAAGGCTGTCTACTATCACCAATGATCTTCCTGATTGCAATTGATTGGATAATGCGACAGACAACGGCAACCAACGAGGGAACAGGCATAAAATGGACTGACACAAAAGACTTGGAGGATCTGGATTTCGCCGATGATATATGTCTGATTTCCCATAAACTGGAAGATATGCAAGTGAAAAGTAACAAGTTGGCAGAAGAAGCATCAAAGATAGGACTTCACGTGAACATAGATAAAACAGAGATGATGAAGATTCCTAGCCAACATCAACAACAACAACAGACCACAATTAGCATAAATGGGAAGAACCTGAAAGAAACAACCTCCTTCACCTACCTGGGAAGCATCGTCTCAACTACAGGCGGAACTGACGAGGACATCAAAGCCAGAATCGGAAAAGCAAGACAAGCTTTCATTACTCTCAAATCTGTGTGGAGGTCAACAGCACTCAGCATCAAAAATAAGATCCGGATTTTCAACTCCAATGTGAAGTCAGTGCTACTATACGGATCAGAGACTTGGCGAGTCATAAAGAGCATCTCAAACAAACTTCAAACCTTCATTAACATCTGTCTCCGCTCAATACTCAAGATCAGATGGCCAGAAAAGATCAGCAACAGGGATCTCTGGGAGCGAACCAATCAGGAACCGATTGTGAAACAAATAGGCAGAAAGAAATGGAGATGGATTGGCCATACGCTGAGGAAACCATCAAGTGACATCACTAGACAAGCCCTCGAGTGGAACCCGAAAGGGAGGCGGCGAGTTGGTCGTCCAAGGGTGACTTGGAGGAGGTCATGCGAGGAGGAGATGAAAGCATGTGGACAAACCTGGAGCAGGGTGAAAAAGTTGTCAGAAAACCGAAGTCAATGGAGGTGCGCAGCTGAAGCCCTATGTTCCTCTAGGAACTAAAGGATACAATAATAATAATAATAATAATAAGATATGGTTATAGCTGAAATTATTGTATACCAATGTAAAAGTCTAATAACAAACTGGTATTTAAAAACAAACATTTTAGCGAAGAGGCTCTTTTTGGAGAATAGATTTCCTCTAACAGATGAAAACATTCTCATCGCTGAGCCGGTTGTCCTTATTTCTGTCTCTGGATGGATACTTTTCGTCAACTAAACTGATATTTGGCTATTAATTTTTATAAGGGCGTTTTTAGGTACTGTGCCTAAATGTATGCTATCTGTCAGTTTCTTAAGAAGTTGTTTTATCCCTCTGAACATTTTTGAATGCCTTAGACAAGCTTATTGGTCAACAACCAAGATTTAATTGCGTTGGGTATTTAGAGACTTTTGGTATTACAATATCTAGTCAAGAGAACTAATTAGTATCAGTGTTTTTGCAGTTTATCTTTATTTGTACAACAGAAGTCTTGCTGCATCAGTCTACTGTAGTTCTTTTCGTCTGTTTTCATCCGCTCTAACTACCTGTGGTTGAAACAAAACTGCCCATATATTCCATAATTCACATTTATCTCTTATATAGTCAAGAATTTCCTGTGACGTCTTACCAAACAATTTTTTCTTGATCAACTAACAGATCAATAAGGAATTTCGTTTTAACTGAAACCTGTTTCTGCTTGGATATATTTGTAATATAAGACAGAGTGTTAGCGTATGAGTTATTCTTTTTACTCTTGATTCATTTGTTGATGTACCCTGGATTTCTTTGATGTTTAATCATGTGAGAATGACTTGTGCTTTCCTGTATTATCAATTATAAAGGCCTAATTGAAAATAAGTAAGATTTTTAGTGACCTGTGTATGCCTTATAAGCATTTCTGACACAAATCTGAACATGAGTAACAATTCAGGTATATTTCATTATATCCAGAA